GAGAGAGAGAGAGAGAGAGAGAGAGAGAGAGAGAGAGAGAGAGAGAGAGAGAGAGAGAGAGAGACCCTTTGCCACGGCCATTGACTGCAGGTCTCAACCGATTCGATTTCAGGGTAAAAGGCCAGAAGGCCAAAGGTCATAGAAGTTCATTAGAGCAGTTTAGTGGCATTAGCCCTGGAGGAAAACCAAAAGCCTTGCCTTTCAACATCCATTGGTCCTATTGTATAGGACGATATCAATATTGAATTACAAAAGAGGTTGCTCCTCTTAGAAACCTCAAAAATTCCCAGTCACTCACTCAGGCCTTCGACAAACTTCGCAAAAGACTGATTCATTTTGTGGAAACCTTGAACATTTCTACCCACTCACCCAAGGCTTGCACAAACTGCTGCCTCTGACTGGGTCTCAAAACTTGGCATGCACGTCCAATTCGCAGAACAAGGCAAGGCCTTCCAAACATGTCCTGCCCATGCCATGACACGAAGGAATTCCAGGCAAGAAGACCAGCCTCTGAGAGGAAGAGATAGCTGGTATGCCACTGAGAAACCTGTTTCAACCGCAAAACGCAGTTCTCCACTGAACCATGGGCTGCAACAAGGAACCGTGCAATTTCCCGATCATTGAACCTGTGGGAGACACCAGCACCATAAATAAACGGACATGAAAGTATTTTCACTTCAGTGGTGAAAACAGTGCAACTCATCCACTTGCCCTGCAATCCTTCAAACTTCAAAGACAACAGTTAAATCAAAGGACAGAGGACTGGTCCTGGTCCTGGTGCTGGCCCTCGTCCTCGCCCCCAATGGGCCTGAAGGCCATAGAACGATCATGCAAGGGAGATATCTACTAAGTGCACCGACAAGACGGAACATTTTGGAAATACTGAAAGACGATAGAAACAAGTGCGAGAGAGTTTCACTCTGCAGAGGGACCAATGCTGGGATGCAGCATGGCTGTTCGCCCAAGTGTGCACTATAGCATGCACACACTGTAAGCTGACCCCCAAACATTTGTGATAATATCGTTCCGTGCGAACTTTTCCACAAATCAGGCTGCTTTCACAATTCGACAACAAAGAGCACATTCAACAATTGCTTTCCAAGGCACAAGTCTGTACAGATTTTCCATACAAAGGGTTGTCCCGCAATTTTCAGCACCTGTACTCCTAGCAGGCAGCAACTGGGGCCTGCACCCATGCGCATGCGGTTTGGGTTAGTGCGACAGGTGTGGGCCAGTATTTCACATATTTTGAATCGAACTAAAAAGGTGGTCATGTTGTACCTCTATCGCATCATGATCCAATGGCTGCTATTCTAAACATGAATTTCATGCCCTGCAGGACAGTTGAAAGGATTCATGCGCTCAGCAGTACGGCCACAGTCCCGTGTCCCATTTTTTTTTGTCCCTGAGGGCCAACGTAGAACTTTCCAGTAGGCACTGACAGGACAAGATTTGATAGGATAAGACCGGTGGGAACAGTAGAGGGCCCTAGCAGTCAGTGCATAGGAGTCCCCATGTGTCCACTCGCGGTTCCATCGCAGCTCAGTCCCAGGGAAGGGTCCATTCCCGGTCCTATTGCAGCTCAGTCCCAGGGAAGGCCCACAAGAGACCAAATCTCTGTTTGCCGTTGCAGGTCCTGGGAGGAAGAGTCCGGAATGAATGGGATGCAAAGGCACAGGCACAGAAGGGAGGCCAAGTCAGGAACCTCTTCTACTTCAATTCTGGCATATGTGGAAGCACTGCTGCATTGCTGGGCACCAAGATCTTGGGACGTGACAGTGCCGGGCAAGAGTAATCGACGGCGCTGGGTGCCATAGCTGTGACAATGTACAGTCCACAGAGAGAGAGAGAGCAGCGAGGACATACGGAGAGTGACCACAGGACCTGGGCGCAGTGACTACCGTCTTCACCCGAAAATAACGCCCGGGCATTGTATGTGAATATAGTGCCCGGCAGGAGTTATATTCAGTAAATTGGGAGCAACTTCAGTGGGGCCTCCCACAAAAAAAAAAAAAAAAAACAGTTCCGTAAAAAAAATACGTTGTCTAGAATTGCAATGCAACCAACTTTTGGCTAAGGGTCACTTCAGAATTCCTTACAAATTCAAGGGGGGGGGAATAATAAAACAAAAAATCAAAGCAAAACACACAGGCAGAAATCGATGGGGAACTTGGGTTAGGCTATCAGCCATGGGAAGTACCAGGGACGGTAGGCGTACACTGGAGGGTGTGGCTAGCTGAGTGGAAGGGAAACGGTGGGCAAGAAGCAATGGATGCTCGACGTGGTCACACAGATGACTGACGCGAGAAGGCAGCAGTAGCCGGCAAGCAAGCAGGGGCATGAAGAGAGTCTTGGTCCTTAGGTTGATTGCAGCTGCAGGGTCCAGCTCGTCAGTAGAACTTAAGCTCTAGGAATCCAGTCCCCAACAAAAGTACTGGTCCCGAAAATAGCAGCGGCCTCCAAGGAAAGTCCGGTGGTATCCGGAACGGACAAGCAACCACGGCCGACAGGCCACTGACAGGTACCGGTCCAAGAAGTTCAAGATTTCGAACTGCAACAAGTACAGTCCCAAAGGAAAACATTCGTTCATTCTAATTATTGAGGAAGCACTGTTGTTTGTTTCTGCGACTTACTTCAAGTGCAACATGGTTGCAGATGGTAGGGTAGTCAATGACGAGGGCGTCATAGCTAGGACTTAGGTCAGCGAAAGAGAGAGGAGAGACCATAGTGATTCAGAGAGAGGAAATAATAAGAGAGAGAGAGAGAGAGAGAGAGAGAGAGAGAGAGAGAGAGAGAGAGAGAGAGAGAGAGAGAGAGAGAGAGAGAGAGAGAGAGAGATGTGGCAGCTATGGCTATTCACTTGTATTCATGTTGGAATTGCTTCATCATTCTTTGAGTTTTCAATAACGGATTTGGGCTCTCATATGATGTTCATCTTGTTCCTTTTGTGTTCGAGCTTGGTGTGGATGTGAGCTTGCATGTTTGACGATTGGGTGTTAATTCGCCGAGACCATTGCAACATCCTCTGTCCGCAAAAACAATGATTCAAGAAATCAACAAGTCAACATGAACGCTCACCTCTGTGGCAGTTGGACATCATGAAGCTGCAGCTGGTCCCTCACCTCGTCCACTTTCTGCTGCAATTCGAACAACTCTTCGCTGTAACGCACATATGCACATTCACAACTATCAACCTCCATCCATGGCAGAAGTTCTAACATGTATGACTGCGAATGCAATTCAAACAACTCTTCGCTGTATCTGGACATATGCACATTCACAACAATAAAGAAAATGAACTCTGCAAACACACAAGGCGATCAATCCCCATCATTGGATAGCGAAGCAACACCGCCATGCATATATGTCTGCCAATAACAATGCCACAGAACACACACACACAA